CCGCAAGGCCGGGAGGCGTCTGGAGGGTGGCCGTGTAGACCCGCCACCGCAAGGCCGGGAGGCGTCTGGAGGGTGGCCGTGTAGACCCGCCACCGTAAGGCCGGGAGGCGTCTGGAGGGTGGCCATGTAGACGTACCACCACAAAGCTGGGAAGCGTCTAGAGGATGGCCATGTAGACCCGCCACCGCAAGGCCGGGAGGTGTCTGGAGGGTGGCCGTGTAGACCCACCACCACAAGGCCGGGAGGTGTCTGGCTGCTGCAGGCGCTCCTCAGGGGGCAGAGTGCATGGCACTGGGTGGGTGTGACCAGTTCCGAGTCCATGCTCTTCTCTCTGACAGCTGACGGCTTTCCGTGGCGGCTCTGGGACAGCAGCAGGGCCCTGGGGTACCCTAGGTGAATGCCTTCCTCAAGAGGTGCAGGGGCTGAAACCAGGAGCTGGGGTGTTAGCCTCGGACGAAGGAAGTCCTTACAAAAACGGTATTCCATCAAACTCATCAAGACCGATGCTAGACGTCCCACAGGATCTTCCCAGACTGCCACTGGGGGTGGCGGTGCAGGCTTGGGGTGCTCTGAGCACAGGTGGCTAGCAGGGCCTGTGTCTAGGGAGCCGGTTGGCAGAGTACAGAATTGGAGCCCCAGGACCCAAGTGCTCCTGCGTTGGGCCCCAAGAGCCAGCCCCTTTCACTGTAATGTTCGGGGCTCTGAGCCGTGCCTTAGGGCCAGTGCAGCAGGGCCCCTTCCCACCCGCCTGGGAGAAGTGGCTTAGCACTGGAATTGACAGGGTGAGGCCATTGTCTCCACAAGTGAGACACATCCAAGAACAAGGCCTGGCCGTGGGGGCCACACACAGTCTGTGTGTCAGCAATGCCCACCCTCCTGACTTAGCCCCGCTTAGCCCAGTGGAGGAGGGCTTCCTGGGAGCTAAGGACAGCTGCTGACTGACAGGGGGCTGGGGGTCAGGATGCAGGCCTGCTGTGCCCCGTGCCAAGTGTCCAGTCACCGGGCCTCTGCCCATCTGCACCTCCAGGCCAGGCAGGGGAGCTGAGGACACACATGGCAATGGGCCGCTCAGTCCCCATAGGCGTGAGCCTTGCAGCTTAGACTCTGTGCTGCCCGCTAGGCGAGGCAGGCCTGGCTGTGACCCTGGGCCTAGACCCTGCGGGCATCAAAGCCATGATGTAGACACCACCCTCCGGAGACATGGCACACGCTGGGAGAAACCACAGACGAGAGAAGCAAAGCAGACAGACAGACTCAGGGACATGTGTCTGGGTGCAGCAGGGCCCGGGACAGGAAGAGACAACACGGTTCACGGAACAGTCTAGACCATGCCGACGGACACGGGGGCTCCTCTCCCCGAGGCGTGAGGGGCACGAGGCAAGGACAGACACTTGTACTTCCCTTACCCTTCTTCTTCCGGACGGAAGCTTGTGGACAGAGAGGGGAGCTGTGAGTCACCCGTGGCGGCGGCACGTGGCCACAGCCTCATCTCGGGCCACTCTGGGGACAGGACAGCCTCAGCAAGCAGGCTGGGACAGGTGGCATTTGGGGGGGCCAAAGGTGGAGGGGGGTGCTGGGGCCGAGGGCTCCTAGAAGGGGCTGGCAAACAGTGGCAAACAGCCACAGCTCCGGAACCATGGGGCCATGTGCCTCCTCTCCACCTGGCCTGCAAATCCTGGCTCTACCTGGTGGGAGGGTCGGGCGGGTTTTTGGGGCTCTGTTCTTAATTAGCACCTCTGCCAGCGCCTTGCCAAAGTGGATGATGGGTGTACAAGGACGAGTGTGAATGGACGCCAGGCCACTGGGGAGGCAGCCACGGAGCCCCATGGCCAGGGGTGTTCACTGTAGCCATGAGACTTGGGGGCTCAGGAGACCCCGGGCCCCCCCTCTTGTCTGTTGGTTAAGTGGATGCTCACGAGAGCCCCTTTTCATAAAAAGGGACTTGCCTGCTGGGGCTGGACTCCCCGGGGCCCAGACAGACCCTCAGGGAGCTGGCCAGGAGGAAAGCCACGTTTTCCTCGCAGGTGGCACCTGCGGCCCAGAGGTGCTTCCAGACCCTGTTTTAGGAGACAAGGTGCAGGCACACCGAGGGGCTGGGAAGGGGCGGGCCAGTTCTGGAGGGCGGGGCATTGACTGGTTCCTGGGGGCGGGGCACCGACTGGTTCCCAGGGACGGCGGTGGGGGGGGGATCTTCTCATTCCTGGGGCAGGGGATTGACTGGTTGCCAGGGATGGGGGGATCGACTGGTTCCTGAGGGCGGGGGGTCAACTGGTTCCCAGGGATGGGGGGATTGACTGGTTCCTGGGGGCGGGGAGATCTGCTGGTTCCCAGAGGCAGGGGATCCACTGGTTCCTGGGGGGCAGCCTCACAGCAAAGACACTGTTTGTTCTCTAGAGGACTGACACCTCAGTGACCCCCCCCCCAAGATTCCAGACATGGACACCAGGGTGGATGAGGGGCCCCTGGCCTTCCCATTATAGGCTGGGCTCAGGTGAATACAATGTCAGTCAGACAGAGCCGGGCTCAGATCCTAGTCCTGGTGGCAGGCCTTGGGTGACATGCTTACCCCTTTCTGCTGAATGCGCCCAGGTCCTGCAGGGCTGAGCAGTCTCTTAGCTACTTCCTGTCCCTCAGGGCTCTGTGCTCTTCCCCGAGACACTCCTCGGTGCTCTGGGACTCTTCAAGATGATGCTTAAGGGCCCACCCAAGGCTCAAACACCACCCAGCACTGTACTGGCCAGGTATGCTGGACCCCTTCTATGGCCAGATCTGGAGTCTGTTCCCTGGAGACCTTTGGCCCGGAGCCTTAAACCTGGCAGGCAGAATGGCCCACCCTCCCGAGATCCTTTCCAAGGACAAATGCTCGGGTCTGAGCTGCGTGTTGGGCCTGGGGCCGAGTGGATGCTGGTGGGGTCCCCTAGACAGCAGAAGGGGCTGTTTCGGGGACACCGTGGGGAGCTTACCTTTATCCACTAGTGAGAGGCCCAAAAATTCAAAACAAAACAATGTTAGATAAGCCGAGAAGACGGAACGGCCACACCAGTCCCAGCACCCCCGGGCCAGCACACGTCTTACAGAGGCTGCCTACCACCAAAGAGGCACACACATGCAGGCGTCATGCATGGCGCTCGGCGCATGGCACAGTGACGGCGGTGGGGTGCGGGCACAGCGCAGGTGGGCACGGCGAGCCTTACCGAGCTCCTCCAGCTCCGAGGTCATGGACTTGGAGCGCAGGGTGAGCGCAGTGGTCGGAGCACGCTTGGGTGGAGGGGGCGCTTGATGGACAGAGAGAGACAGAGGGCGGGTGTTGCTCGGGGTACACGCGCCTCGTCCCCCACACCCCACCCATGCTTCCAGGAACCCAGTGACCCCGCGGCAGGGCACTGAGGGCTTGGCTGTGGACCGTCAGCACACGACGGGCATGTTCAGGGCCACGGCCACCTCTCAGGCCAGGCTCTCCAGGTCCTGACTGGGTACACGAGGAGCGTCTCCTGGGGGGGCCGTCCCAGGCGTTGTGTCCGCTGTGACTAAGGGCCCGGGTGGTGCTGGCAGCCTGTGTGGCCTGACCCCTGCTCAGTCCCTCTCGTCTCCTGTTCACTGGACAAAGCCCTTTCTATGTCCCCATCTTGCACTGTTCTCACATGGAGGCAAGACCCGAGGGAGCACCCCAGGCCGCCACTCACAGGGCACATCTCCGAGCCGCTCACAGCCCCTCCCCCGGGTACCCCGAGCCCGTGGGCTGCTGCAGGACACACGGACCCAAAGGGCCAACATGCTGCTCCGGCTTCTTTCCACAGTTGGGATCTGGGGGATACGGACTGAGCCGGGACCCCTCTGAGCACAGCCTACTGAGGGCGGCCGTGAGCACGGACACCTTCCTGCGTTTCCTTCCCCTCCCTGCT